TGCCCTTTCTTTCACAGATGGTCTGATGTAGATCTGTTTCTCTTTCACTGTCTTGCTCGCTTGGTGCTCATTCCTCTGTTGTGTGTTGAATATTAGCGTCCCTTGTAGCAGTCACACATCCCTCACTGTTGGCTGTCATGTCTGCTCTCATTGTCTCTGTTTGACGAAGGAGATGCTGTTTGTGGACCGATGATTTAATTGACTTTGTGTTGAACTGAGTGAAGTGGCAGTGATGGACAGATGGCTGGGAAAAGAGGCTTTGGTTCCAGCCAAGAATGAGTCATGCCAAGCCTGAAACTGCTAGCACACTCGCTCAGCCCATTGTCAGCCCGCTGCAGTCAGCTACAGTTCGTCAGCCAGAAATGAACATGAGTTGGCACGAGCAGTAATCTTCATTCTTCAATCATGATGTATAATGTCAGGTACACTGTGCAGTCTGACAACGCTGCCCCATTAAATTCACCGCTGACGCTCGTCTGTATTCTGTCTGTTTTCGCTCATTTTAGAAGGTTTGAATTTTAAGATAAAATTCACTTTATTCTTGACCTTAGAAACAACAATGGAAAAAAAAATCTAAACTCCTTAACTTTAGTGTTCTTGAGCTTTTGATGGTATCACACAGCAGCTAAAGTTTGCCATTAAACAGTAGATGTTCAAACTTTTTATCCATGTTGGCCAGTTTTCAGCTAAAATTATTAGACCTGAACATGTACCAGCTACTAAAAGAAATTGGAAATGACTGTACTTGGAGAAGTGTGTACATTTCAGGATTAAATGACACTGACAAGAACTCATCAGTATCTGCAGTCACAAATTCTAGGGCTTATCGTCTAGAAAGAGCAGGAGATGCACGTAACCATCCTCTGAGCAAACCACAAAGGCAAGAAAGCCAAAGCCACTGGGAATTCTCAGAGAGACGGGAGATGAGTGCAGCAGAGTAAGGGCTCATGTGGGATGGGAAGGAATGGAAAAAGGTGAAAAAAGGGCAAATGAGAGTGAGAGAACATTTGGAGAAGGAGAGGGGCCATGAATGAAAATATATAACGGTAAAGAAGCTGCGATTGAGCGTACAGTGTGGCCTGAGTGGAAGGAAAGAAGAGTCTTACTATATGTAAGGATTGAGGATAAAACGGCTAAACTTAGCAAGGATTCCTCGACCATGAGAGCACTTTATAGCTCCCGTGCACTGCCTTTATTTTCTGCATGACTACTTTCTATTTTTAAAGTGGACACATATAGAGACTAACTCCTATAGTGGACAAAAACCGAAAAAGGAAGCTTTCAGATCGTGAAGACATTCCTTCATCCAGTATAAGGGATTGTGTCAGACACAGGAGGGAGCGGGGGCTGACCCACAGCCTCCTGTTTCACTGTGGTAATAGCTACAGTGATTTGTGAGGCTCTAATGTAATGATCGCCGTGCCACTGCTGCATGTAGGGGTCATTGGTGGTCTTACAGCAAAGGACCTCTGTCCAAATGAATCAATAAGAGCAGTATTGACCATTGTCCTTTCAATTTCCAATCTCTTTCTCTGACCAATGCAGGAAGACGGCCAACTCTCACACACAATTCTGTCCGTCCGTCCTGCCTCCCAAGACTGCCAGTGCACATTTTCTGTCCAGTTTGTTTAGGAAGTAGTATTAATATCGGCGAACTCTGCAGGACGCGATTCAGCTCCAATGACAGCTTTCAGCACCAGTGCGTGAAGTAGTGTGCTGTTAAAGTGGGAAGGCAAAGGGTGGTGATGTACCACTGCTTTGTGTCCCATCTTATAGAAACATTTAATGTTGTTTTAAGGAAATACTTAACCAAAGAGGATGATGTTGTGTTTTCAATGTGTTTTAGTTGGTGTTATTCATACCTCAACCATAGTTCATTTGGTATAACCATAAATGTTCCTTATTGCCGAACCTTTATGCAGCTGGAGATTGACAGGAAAGGTGGGTAGAGAGAGAGGGGATGACAGGGCACGCATAAAAATAATAATTAGTAGGTGTTTGTTCAACAAGATTAAGAGTCTACAGCCACGCTAGCGGCTCTATAAGGCTGAACCTTGGCACAGCCCTACTGTGAGCTAAATGCCAACGTTGGCATGCTAACTAACTAACTGGTCGAATGGTGGACCAACTGAAATTGCCATCCCTAGAGCTATGTTACTTGTACGGCTAAAAAACACTGTTATCAAATGTAATGAAGGTTTTTGCTGACTCGACAGCTTTTTTGTGGCAAAGTTAACAGGAAGAGTGTCCTATAATCAGAACATTTACAAGGTCTTTGACCAAATTCCTGCTATTTTGAACGGAGCTGTGATTCTCAGTCTGCTGGGTGAACCCTCCAAAAAAAAAAAAAAAAAGACTTCTCCTAATGGATCAAAGCAGTATCATACTGCTGTGAGATGATTATTAGTGGCCTGTGTGTGGGTGACACAGCGCTGTCGGTATCAGTGTGGCAGCAGGTCCAGAGGTCGGTCATGTCAGGCAGCCGGAGGCTCGTTCTGTCGCTGTGTGTTTTTGTCAGCGTTGCTATCTGAGTGCAGCCTTCACAGCTCCACAACTCTCATCTCCGGGCGGGATCAACATTCAGAGCATCTGTGCCCTCTTTAGGTTAGTGTTAACCCACCTTATTGAAACATATGTGACCGTTGCAAGATTTTCTTGAAAAGAAAGCAAAGCAGTGCTTTTGGTGGATTGATGTTTTCTTTCCTATAAACTGCTGTTGTAGCGGATCTAATTGGAGATGTTTTGATGTTACGACGAACAAGATAAAAGTTTTCCTGTCCACCATTCCCATCCATCTCTGTTCAAACATAATCAACATAATCCATCTCACATAATTGCCTTCCTCATCAGGCTAATTGGCCTTAATGAGCTAAAATCACATTATTTTCCCCCAGCCTCGCCTTTCATATAAGAGGTGTCATTTTTAAGCAGACGTATCTTGTCGAAAAGACCCCGGGCAGATGGAGGCGTGTCATTGATTGGTTATGATAAGCACAGCTGATTAGCATGTCATCCTTTGATCTACAGTTAGTGCTCCTTGGGGAGTGACTGCTGGCAATAAACCAGCAGGCCTATTTCATCCAGTGGTCCCACAGGCCAACCCCTGACTTCTCTGACCTCGCGCAACCTCATGATGGGTCAGACAGAGGAACATCATGCGTCAGCAGTGCAAAAAAAGAAGAAGAAAAAGGGGAGACATTTTGAATAATAATCCTTCTGCAGGGTTTAACTTCGGCTGTTCCTTTATGAGGATGGGAAATTTTTAATTAACGCTGTAATTATTCTCATTTGTCCTGTGTGGCTTTGCAGTGCTCCGCTCAGTTGCAATGAATCACCGCTGATCTGACGGGCGAGGATTTAGAGCTGCTTTCACCTCAGAATCCCTCATTCTGATTTGAAAAAAATCAGTAAAAAACAGTATATATTATTATTATTATTATTATTATTACTATTATTATTATTATTATTACTATTATTTATTATATGAGATTTTTGGAACTTAAAAATAATACTACATAATAATAATAATAATAATACATAGAAATAATATAATGAATAATAAATAATGAATATAAAGTTTATATAATAATAATAATATATACTGTTTTTACTGATTTTTTTCAAATCAAGATGGAGGATTCTGAGTGAAAGCAGGCTTCTAAATCCCTGTCGCCCGTCAGAATCAGCGGATGTTCATTGCACTTAGCGGAAGCCTGCAAAGCGACAGCAGACAAATGAGACAGTAGATTACAAGCGTTAATTAAAATTTCCCATTCCTCATTAAAGGAACAGCCGAAGTTAGGACCTGCAGAAGGATTAATCTTTCAAAATGTCTCCCTGTTTTTCTTCTTCTTTTTTTTGCACTGCTGACGCATGATGTTCTCTGTGCTGACCCAGATCATGAGGGGCGCGAGGCTCAGAGAAATCAGGGGTTTGGACCCTGTTGGACCAGCTGGATGAAATGGCCTGGATGGGTTTTATTGCCAGGCAGTCACTCGCCAAGGAGCAACTAACTGGTAGATCAAAAGGAATGAGATGCTAAACAGTTGTGCTTTATCATAACCAAATCAAATGACACGCCTCCATCTGCCCGGGGGTCTTTTTCGACAAGATACGTCTGCTCTAACAAAATGACACCATCTTATATATGAAAAGGCCAGGGCTGGGTGAAAAGGTAATTGATTTTAAGCTCATTAAGGCCAATTACCCTGATGAGGAAAGGCGAATATGCTGAAGGATGGATTATGTGCTTATCGTTTGAACAGAGGGGATGGGAATGGTGGGACAGGAGAACTTTTATCTTGTTCGGTCGTCACATCCAAACATCTCCAATTAGATCCGCTACAACAGCAGTTTTTATAGGAAAGAAACATCATCCGACAAAAGCACTGCTTGCTTTCTTTTCAAGAAAATCTTGCCAAGACGGTCACATATGTTTCATTAAGGTCGGGTTACCACTAGCCGTAGAAGGAGAGGGCACAGAATGCTGAGCTGAATTGTGGATCCCGCGAGATCGAGAGGTATGTGGAGCTTGAAGGCTCACTCAGATTAGCAAACGCTGACAAGCAACACCAACAGCGACAGAACGAGCCTCCGGCTGCCTGACATGACCGACTCTGACTGCTGCCACCCTGATACCGACAGGCGCTGTGTCACCCACAACACACGGCCACTAATTAATGCATCTCACACAGTATGATACTGCTCTTTGATCCATTAGGAGAAAGTCTGTTTTTTTTTTTTTTTGGAGGGTTTCACCAGCAGACGCCGTGAAATTCGACTGAGCCACTTCTAACACTCATGCTAGAATTTATGGGTACAACAGACGCATTATGTAAATTGTTTACTATGATTATGTGGGAACACCTCTTGTCTGTTAACTTTTATTTGCCAAGCAAAAAAAATAGCGATCGATCTAGTCAAGCAAAACACTTGCCAGTATAGCGATTTGAATATACACGTAGTTTTTTATTTGTTGCCGTAATAAGTTTTTTTGTAACATGGTGGTGGTGATGGTGGTTGTGGTGCTCAGTCCTGGTGGAAGACGAACGGTGGTGGATGTGCTGGGCTCTCCTGGAGGACTCTGTCCTCAGAGGCCTCTCCTCCTCGTTGCCCTCCCCCTCAGCCTCGGCATCGGCGTCGCCCTGGTCCTGGCTCTGGTGGTGGTGGTGGTGGTGGTGATGGTGCTGCTGCTGGTGATCTTCTCTGGAGCCTTTTCTCTCCACTAATGCTTTATCTCCTTTCTGCTCTGCACCGCCGCCCTGGAGTCAGTAACACATGTCAGTCAGTAGGGCGACAGAAAGCAAAACAATTCACTGCAAACACACAGAAACACACACAGAAACACACACATGCAGATGAATATTCACTTCAGGCTTCTAGCTTCTGAACTCACTCTTGAACACACACACACACACACACACACACACACACACACACACACAAACACACAGCTTGAATATTCACCAACCATCCATTGAAGGTTGAAGAATTTCAAGGTATTTTCAGTACCAGCACCGAGGCCGACTCCTGACGGATTTCTGGCACTTGAAGTCTCAAAACCTTTATCTGAGGGCCTCTCCACACTCACCACACTAGCAACCACACGTCAAGCTCACTCCTGCTCCTCATCAGAATCAGGAATTTCCTCAAATGCCCCATTTTCAGTCTTACATTTCCCATTGTGAGGGCAGGGGGGTGGAGAGAGGGTAGAGGATAAGGGATTATACACAAAAGACCAATAGTTGTGTGTTGTTTGTTACTGTTAGGTGTCAATATTAACACACACCATGAAAATGACAAGGTATTATACATGATCATAGCAAGTTAATAGTAAGACTAATAACTTCTCTCTGTATCTTCTCTAAAGGTCGGTCCCAATATCCACACTTTCTGTGTCTAAAAACTGCCAACCCACAATACACTTAGTCCAAACTGTTTGGACACTACTGCAGCAGTTGATGATAAAAATTATATTGCAAATCTTAGTTAACATAAATATCAAATATTAAGAAGTAAGTTCCTCACCATTAAAATTAACATTATGTCTCCTTCAGTACAGCAGACCTGCGTGCTTCTATGTAACTCGATTTAATATCTATATTAAAGGACCAGTGTGTA